ATGATTTCCCTATTCAGTAAGGGAAGGGCAGAGCCCTGGCTAAGATCTGGCTGCCAGTGTCACAGTAACACCAACAAGGTTCCTGCAAGGCTCTTCTGCCTTTAGCTCAGAGCTAAACTGTGCATCAAAAGCATGGTGACACAAGAGCTTCAACATGTGCAGTGTCACAGCCATCTTTGGTGAGCCTGTAACACAGCTCTGAAACACATGAAGTAGCTCAGACATCAGCAGTGCAGATCAGTGAAGAAGGCTTAACTAGCCAGGCTCCATTCTCTTCCATCTGTAATCTCCAGGGAACACACATCTCAGCCCTCTCCTGCTGGGTGCATACTGCTGCCCACCTCTCAGCTTACCACTTCCAAGCCCACTCTGCCAAACCCAATGGCTGTAATGTGGTGGTTTCCTAGATTTCCTGTCAGGAAAAGATAAGAAACTGCAACAAATAAACAGATTTCCCAACTCACCAGGGTGACTTTTTCTAAAGGATTATTCGGGATCTGTCATCAATTTACTGCCTGCCTCTGTCTTAAATTGTGTGTGATTACTTTGTTTAGTTTTGCTGACACTTGTGTTTTGTTTAAGGGTCTCTTTGTGCAATCCTTTTTGTCTGCTTTAAATAAGCACTCTTCCTGTGCATGTAGCAGCATGCTTGGGTTCAGCAAGATGTCTATCACTTAATAACCAAATGAAAAGTTTAATCACCCAAAAGCTGGCTTTCAACCTGCAGTTAACAAAACAGAAAAGCTAAGTGTGTTCTGTATGCGTTTTTCTCTCCATTTCTTCTGTTATCACATTTGCTAGTCCAAGCAAGTTTTAGTGCTGTGTATTCAGTCCTGTAAATATCAATTCAGTGTGTGGAAACCGGCAGCAGGTACTCTTACTTTGCAGTCAGAATCAGTCCAATAAAACAAAACAATTACTCACTGCAGTCCTTCAAAAGTTGTTGGGTTTTTGTTACTAATCACCAAGAATGTATGAAATCCAAAGATATACACTAATAGCTTGCTGAGCACATCGGCTGTAGAAAATCGGGCAAGCATATCCGAGCAAACATGACAAAGAAACCAAACAAGAGAACTACAAGTCGTGCCAAGGTGCCATTTTTACAAAGTGACTTTAAAAAAAAAAAAAAGAGAGACAAGTTAATATCCCAACATGGGACAATATAGCTATGTTAAAAACACTTGCCATTAACAGCCATCTGTTCTCTGCAATTTGGGGGTAATTTTTATGTTCAACTGACAGCTTTGCATCGCCTTTTCTCTTTCATGAAGGATTCTCTCTGCCCCTAGTGTAACAAGCCCCTGAGAAGCAGGATCTGCCCATTACCTTGTGGCTCACAATATGCTGATGCTGCTAACAAACATGTAGCACTCTGCAACAGACTTCCTAACACAAACTGGGCACAAGATTTGGAGGGGAAATATATGTATTATTATTACATATATTATTATGCTAATAATATTCCAGTTCTCTCTAATAATATTCTACTCATGTCAGCACAGCCTGTAAAAAAATCAAGAGCCAAAATGTGCTGGCTGCCCTTGACATATTGTGATGGCATGAAAAATCAAGACTGCTTTCTCACCATTCTCTGAGAACAAGGATAGATTTCTACTCAAGCCTATCTTCTTGATCAGAATGTCTGTAGTGTCCTTATGCCTTTTCCTCCTGTTTGAACTTGTTTCTTCAGACTATTTAGTAAATACAATTCATGTTCACACCTAAAGTAAAGCTACCTCCTTTTGTTTTGTTATGTGTTAGAAGTCTTAAAATACACACTCCCAACAAACAGCAGGGTTGCACTTCCTTCGCTTGCAATCCTTGCAAAGAACAGTAGCACAAGTGCAGAGAAAACTAGAATTCTATTAACATTCAAATCATATGCTTACCACCATTTCCATTCCTCAGATCTGATATAATTTTAATATACAGTAGGAATAAGTCTGGAAAAAGAGAAACTGGAGCAGCTAGAAGTGATTTATTTATTGCTTTTTAGTGCTTCCTTCAGTACACAAGAGAGATGGTGGTCAAACACTTCCACTAAATCTAGAGCAGTCCTGTGACTGTAGCCCACCAAGCACCCACCTTGTAAACACAAAGCATATTTATAGAGTATCTAACAGTAACTATACAGATCGGTCAGAAACTCTGTTTCAGTCCTATCTGCAGATACACTCAATTTGAGCCTATTCCATGTTTTAACCAACCAAAAGTGAAGGGGCTGATTTTAGGCTTCATGCACTGGAGAAGAAAAAAAAAAAAAAAAAAAAAAAAAAGACTCTTTCTGTAATTACCACTAAGGCTCAAGTTACAAAGTTATCAAAGTTATCAGTTATCAAAGACGCACCTTGAGTATTGGCTCACGTGGACCCATTTAAAATGAATCTATCCCAGTGCCTTCTCCTCTCGAACGCATTTGCCTAAATAATTCTCTTGAGTAGGGATTTGGACTTATGTACATTCTCTAGGTATATTTCTGAGCTGACTGTTAGCTTGCCATAATCTACAAAATGGGATCCATATCATCACACTGGTTTTGTTTCATGCCTTCAACTTCCTTATACCTGGGTGTGATCCAGACCCAGAAGAATAACAGTGGAAAGACGTGCAGTTTTGACTTGAGCAAGCTCCAGATTAATATCAACACCTAGGTTTTTTTTTCCTCTGTGCCATCCCTGAGCCTTGATACAGGTGACTTAAGAGATTGTTCCAGGAGATAATCCTCCATATAAACCGTGAGCCTGGCGTTCATCAGTTGTGAAGTAGGCACAGTATTTCTGCATGTCTTGTCACTGAGGAAATGTACAGTTTCACTGCATACCTTAGAGCTCAACTTTTCTTCAGGTAGGACTTGTACTGCCCTGTTAGAACAGCCGTTCCTGTAGCACAATCTTCCACGTCTTACTTCTGAATTGTATTGCAAAAGTACTGCAGTTTTTTCTGATTCACGACAGCACCACTCCATGAGGTCCCATTTATGAATATTATACTCTCCTAACTCTACGTTCTGCTCATAAGAATCAGCCTACCAAGATTCAATCGTTTCAGCTCTTATTCCCCTGCCCCTTTGCTGGTGGTTCTGCAGTAGCCCTTTTCACACGCTGAGATTATCATCACATCGCTGCCTCTCAGTGTGATATTCTGCAGCTCCCAAATGCTCCTAACCCACATCCATCATTCAGTCCCCATGCCAGCTTCCCTTAACTCCTCCTGTACACAGTCACAAGGTTTCTGATACCCCTGCTTTCAATCTGAGCTCTCTGTTTCCCTTGTGTGGCTGAGCACTCCAGTGGTTCCAATTCACAGGAAGGAGCACCATTCCTGTAATTGCTCCATTCTCTCACGTGGCAGGTGCTGAACTATGGCATTCTCTGCGTAAGAGTCAAAGGTGGTTTCAGCCCTGGTGCTCTCCCTCTGCAAAGTCATCAGTGCAGCACTGGCTCTGTTGGGCTGCTCCCATCTTTAGTTCTCATCTCCACGCTAATGGGCTGAATGCTAATAACCTCCGGCTTGTCTGAATCTCTGTATTACAGTGCTTGGGGTCAGGCAATAAAGGCAAATGGCATCATTCCTATTTCATTCCTTTGTCTCTCCAACTCCAGTTTATTGCCTTTTGTTTTTTTTTTTGTAATTGCTACAGAACTTCTCTAAGATCACCTCTGTCCATCTCATTTTCCTGCCTATCTTGTCTTTCCCAAACATTGCATGTCACTGTTTTATTTACTTTGAAGCATTTTCACTATGAACCAAGGGAAATTTGGCAAAGCCAAAATTCTGTAAATGCAGAATAAATAAGAATGCATGTGTTTTACATTAGACTGCCTTGAATATTTAGTCATCCATTCTAGCAATAAATATATTTTACTTCCTTAAGCCTCTTGCTAACTATCCACTAGGACTGAAGGACTTGCTGCTTACAGTTCTTCTTTTCACTGATGAAAATTACGTATTGTGTTTTGGTGTGTCATTCAGTTCCTGTCTCCCACTCAAATGAGAAACATCAGAAACTGTTTTCGAACAGATTTGCAGTACAGAGTATTTCAAATTTGCAGATCCCAAGATGAGGAGTACAGCTGGTATAGGCAAACCATTCCGATTTTGCAAGAAAACCTTATCAGCTAAGCAGTACTTCTGCAGACTGATACAGTGCTGAAGTCCATGAGCACAGACAGAATATCCTCTGCAGTTTCAGGTAGCTGACTTGTGTTTGGCCATTTTCTAGATAGAACTGTAAGCGTACAGATGACTGAATGGGGTTAAAAAGCTAACCTCAACCCACGTCTGCCCTCAGAATTAATCTCAGAGTTTACATGTCTTTTTTTTCCTGAGATTTTCTTAGTGTTCTCATCAGCCTCTTCCTGTGGGGCCTGCAGACACGCTGCAGGAAAGAAGCTTGCCAGGATATAAGAGAAATCTCATGAGAAATTCTGTTGTTGGTTCATTTCCAGGAAAATTCTGCAGACTCAAGACACATAAGTAAATTTCTCCAAAGCTGGGAGACAATACCTGTGATATCTCCAACAGCAACTGTGATCACTTCCTGAAGGTTGCTCTTAATAGTCTCATTTTTCAGACCTTAGTTGGATGTGAAAATGTCATTGCCAGGCTGAGCAACAGACACAACAAAAGCTTCATCTGAAATAATGAATTTGTCTTGAATTCTGCAGAGGGTCGAAGAGACTTTTATGCAATTTCTTTTTTTTTTTTTTTTTTAATTAGATGAAAAAAACCCTTTATTGTTCCTCTTTCCCTTATTTCTTTGGGCATAGGACCTGAATGTTTTGGAGTTCAGCAAAACCAATTTTTCTGCTAGGGCCTGAATCTGCAGATCCACAGACATTTCTTTAGCAACAACATTAACCTTATTCTTTCCTGCATTAGGCAGAAGGCTCTTCTCCTGAGACTGCCCAAGGAAAAACAAGAGCCTCAGGACCTTGCTAAACAAGGAGCACTTCTGCAATACTATCCAAAAAGAAATGGAAAGGACAGAAAGGTACCTGAAAACCAGGAAAATCTTCCTCTGGACTCAATCGGAAGTATCTGTTGGCTCACGATCCACAGCTTAGAATGCTCTTACAATAGCAACATACCATCTTCCATCTCACTAAGACACACCTAAAAACAACCAAGAAAAGCCACCAACGTTAAAACGCTCATTAGACAAAATCCCCAGGTATGAACCACAACTCTAGTTTCCCTAATCCTGATACCAAGATAGCATCCATACCCTCAGCTCTGTTATTTTGCCTGACAAATACACACAGGCATCCTCCTCTGAATCCAGCTGAGTCAGGGGTGAGATTACTGCTCACAGCTGCCATTACTGCCCTCCCCATTCTCACTAACTCGATTCAGCTAACGTTGTGGAAGACACCTAAGACCAATTAGAAAATACACTACACACAGTTCTCTCAACTTGATTGAGAACTTCACTGACTGACTTGATCACATGCAGCAGGGAGTCCAGCACTCTCACTGTGCACTGCATGTGATAAAAACCTCAGCTGAAGCCGTGTGCTTCAGGGAAGACAGATGGAAGAACTCCAATATCTGCTTCTGATCAGAAATGTCAATACCAAAAATACGATATCAATGGAATTCAGGTAGCTCCACAGACAGATGGCACCTAAGGTGGATCAGAAGGTTATTTTGGTTTGGCTGTTTATTTGTTTGGCTTTTTTTAAACTTAAATCCAACCTTGGGCATCCACACTTGTTATAAAATCTGTTTTCAAGTCACACCCATTATCTGTCGCATATGGGTAAGGTGAGGGGAACGCTTCCCTGTTCAGTATTCTTAAGCCGTTTGCATAAAATACATGCTAAATAATTTAGGAGAATATTTGTAAAAGGCAAAGTCTTCACAAATAATGAAAGCTAAAAACAGGATTCATTGAAAATGTTCCAGAGTTCCCTCACTCTTCTGCCATTGAGCCTCGAGTACTCTCTTACTGTTATTATTGAAGAAAGAAAGGGAATTTTAGAACACATCCCTTGGACAAACATACCTCAGTATATCACTAAGTATATTTTCTTTTTCTTTTAAATGAAACATTTCCTTTGCCTTTAGTTGATAATTTTTGTCCACCTGCAAGCCACAACTGCAATCTGTCATTTCACATTCAGTGATCCTTACACAGATTCCCAGCCACAGTAAAATTAAGGGCTGATCTATCATCCACTGAAGCCAAAGGAAAAAGAACCTCCAGCTTCAGTGATAGAGAACAGAGACAGATAGAAATGGAGAAGTGTTGTCAGCTATTTGCCAACTCAGTTGTCAGCTATTTGTCCAACCTTGGACATTTAAAATATAGTAAGTTTACATTGAAAGTTAATTTTATACTGAATTAAAGATTGAACTATTCACTCAATCAAAGAAAAGCAGCATATCCAGAACAGCAAAATCACTTAAATTCTAATTTATGAAATAACCTGGTGTGGCCAAAGAGTTTCCTGAATAAAGATAAACGCATCAGTGTTTTAAGTACTTTGGGCTTTTTTTAAATGACTTTTTGTTATCCCACTAGAAGCCAACAATTGAGTTCACCAGGTCAGAGGACCATCTAGGTTGCTGATCTAACCCCAACTACTCTAGCCCACATCCATAACAACATTCTTCCAGAACTGAGTACAGTTTGTGTGCTATTCCAGGTGAGAAATTCATCCCTGCACCCCAGGCTCTCATTCTTGGATGCCTCTTTGTAAGCTGGATATTTGCAAATTGGAGTACTCACATTTCAACAATAAAGCTCCTGGAGATAATTTGATTTTGCACTGCCAGCCAGCACTTCATTGCTAATACTTAAGATGCATTACGTATTTCTCTGAGAGAATTAGCACTCAGATAATTAACTCTTCTGGGTGCTGAGTTTATGCTGTTCAGTGAAAACACACTGCACCCACAGAGACATGTTTGTATAGAGGCAAATCTAATCTCTAAATCTCTTATGTGGTCAGTAAATTAAAATCTAGGTTGCAGCAATTAAATGGATTCCCTTTTCCTCGCTTTTTTCTTCTTTTTGGCACATGCTTGCAAAATAGTTCACATACAATCACTCAATGGCTGGAAAGTAGGCTTGGCAGAAGGAGCCAGCTCAGCGTGACTCCAGTCAAGACAAACAGCTGAATTATTGTGACGTTCGTAAACAGGTAATTAGTTTTGCATGTCATTGTTCACCGCCTCAAGCTCATTACTCAAGTCTTACAACACTCTCTTTAAAAATTCAGACCTGTTTGACCTGCTACCAGCAATAGTGCATTTCAAGCATCCATGGATAAAGTGCAATCTTGTCAAACTGAAGACACCTGCTCCCAGCAGGAGCCCTGCTTATGAACTGCCAAGTCTTTTGTTACAGTGCCTCAAGAGGGAATAATCTTTCCGTCTGGAATAACCAGCACCAACTTGGCTGCAGCCTTTAAATATTTACTGCCACACAAAATACATATAGGTATAGAAGCAGGAGATGCACAAATGCAAAAAGACAGGAGACCACTTCAGATAACTTCTGCTCTTTGCCACACAGGCTTTTGAAATTCATTTTCTTTGGAAACTGGCTCCTCGCAAATTTCATCTCTTTAATCTTTGATACAGGTCTGTCAGAGGGAAGGTCACTTCCCTGTACAGGGATGTATATAACTTGTTTCACAGGTGACAAAATAAGCTGTGCTTTCCTTTCCATTACTGTCGTGCTCTAATTTCCTCCTGTTACTGAGCAAGGAGTGGATAATTTGTGTTATGGGTTAATCAGACTCTGCCCTTGTTTCCTCCTTAAGCCCCCACTGCAGCACAGCTCCACACACAGCATGGCACTGCTTCAGGTTCTGCTTGGCACGCTGCTGCTTAAAGCTGCTCCTACTGCCTTCTTCACCAGCAGCACGGAGAAGGTGGATACTCTTGCTCAGGGTTTTGCCTGATACTATTTCTTCAACAATGCACGCTCCTGGACAGCAGGCTGTTTATCTCAGTTTACCTCTAGATTAACAGTTGCCCTTAATCCTTTTTGTTGTGGAAAAAAAAAAAAAGGCGAAGGACAAGTACTCAGATAATTCCTTCCTTCTCATATTTATTTTGTGAGAGTGCAAATGGTAATTTAACCTAATTGTTTTTTAGTACTCTGATCATTAAAGATCCAGTAAAAGAAAGTGTAAGTCTTGGGTGAAGGTATCATAGAATTCAGCATTTCTTTCTGCAGCATCTTCTGCAAGGGCAATGCACAGCCCAGTCATGGGCTCAGGGCTCCTCAGACTCCCACAGGTGGTTTAATTCAACAACATTTCTTGCTGTCTTCACTACCCTTAAGAGATTTCATTGAGCAAAGTCCATTTTGTGATACTTAATCATATATATGCAAATGTTACATTTAGAATTTGGAGCTCATTGTGAGCTTATTTTTCTTGAGCAGTTATTTTAAAATGTGCTTTAAATCAATTTTGCAGTGAACATGGAGTATGTTTCAGCAACAACCATTTTTCTCCTGATTAGTAAATTACTGTTGTTTCCAATGTTTCATTCTAACTACTACTTGCTCAGAGTCACAGGAAAACAAAGCACTTAGTCAAGACAAACTTCCCTTTATTTCCATCTCAGCAAAGAGAGGTCTAGATTACTTTTAGAAAAACAGTTTTCAGCTGACAAAGTGAAAAATGTTGCATAACAGCAAACTTATAACACAGTAAGAAAGTTTTAATAGAAGGATTACCACTTTCTGTTGTAACTAGTTTAAAAGTCCTTTAAGAGTTTCTGTTAAGAGCAGAAGATTATGTTTGCAGTATTTATGTAATTTCTATTGGCTGGATGTGTAGTAATTTATGAAAGTTGTGACAACATAGAGCTTTAATACAGATTAAACCACACAGAGGGAGGAAAATAGAGCACTGTGCCACTCTGCTACACAGAATACCAATCCTAGGATCATTTAGATTTTTAAAACAATTCAGTTTAGAAATATAAATTGTGTTTTCCCAACCAATCGAAAATCTGTCTCAAGCACATATTTTTCTGGGTAGCTATGCATTACTTCTATCTCATTACGTGATGTTATCTGTATTTCAGATTCCATTTGTACAGGCTTAGGAAGACACAAGCAAATCATTCATATCATCCTCGTCCAGAGACGATAAATATCCTTAATGTTATATCATTTTGTATTCAGCATTGGTTATGTATCTTCAAACTTATCAGAATTCTACCTGTATGCATTTCTATTCACAAAGCTGGGCAATCATCATGCAAGTCTTAAAGTATGACAAAGGTTTTAGCTTCCTAGTTCACAGCAAGTGTCCAAAATAGCTTCCAACAGTCAATACGGAAGAGCTGTGATTCTACCAGGGCATTGAATGCAAAAACAAAGCAAGGGCTGGCCTAGTGGACAGCTGGATAAAACCTCTCTTCGATAGCAGATAGTTCTCATCTACCAGCCTGATAAATACTGGAAAAGAAAGCGTTCTCATGTAGGATCTGTATTTAGAACACCAACTGGAAGATAATCTAAGTCTGGTTTTCATCTGGTCAAGAATTTTGGTGTCCACAAGATCAGTGAGCAGATTATCCATGAACTGATGGCAAGTAAAACAGAAGCTGTGATAAAGGCTTCATAGCTGTACACCTATGGATACGTGTCTGAAATGTACATGTAAGCACATAAAACCTCTGGATCTGCTTTTTGCATTTGCAGTGTCTACATTTTAATTAACATCAACTGTAAGCGTATGGTAGACTAGGCATAATAACAGTAATTAAGACCTTGGCCTATTAAAATACATCAGACACATAAGCACAAAGGCAAAATCCAATTTGGAGAAATATATGGAGCATTCAAAGGTCAGTACTGAGATTTTATCTGGGACAACTAAATAAACGGGCAAATTCAACCCTATTTAACAATAAGTGTTTTTCTTGAGATCTCAAGAGTATTTCCAATTATTCACAACTGACTAGCCATGCAGTGCTTTCACAGAACTATAAACAAGTCACCACAATATACCAAGTTTGACAAAACTGTCCAACAGCCCATTAGCTGTACAACTGTGCTAAATAGCCAGAGACAAGTCTAAATCTGCCAGAACCAGTGTCTCTCGAGTCTGCTGGGGGATAGATACTTGAACTGCAGGAATATC